TGCGCTGCATTGTAATGACTGAAGATTGCCTTTTCTGCAAAAACACATCATGGGAGTTCCCTTTATGTGAGTGAACAAGACAAGTTATAAAGCAATCTGTAAGTTATTCGGTTGCAAATTCATCAGTGATCATCACTGCAGTGCAGTAAGATCATGGCAAACAGAAACAGCTGACATTGCTGTAATGGTGGTTTCCAGTGCGTGACAATCTCCCTTAAATGTGGAGCACAGAAACCAGTCTGAGGCAGCCTGCTGTGGAGAAGAGCTTCTCGTCCATTGTCCCAGAGTTTTTTTCTGAGTAAGGGGGGCCTCTGTTGGAATCCAGTGGTACCACACGTTGTTTACCAAGCCTTATGCACCCCAGGACATCCCAATACAGTATTCATTTTGTTTTGTAAGCACAGCCTGAGCTTAGCATGCAGCTGTCTCATTGAACATAATCTTTAAAAACACTGACTGTACATAACGTCCTGATATGACACCAGGGCCACATATTGTGTAAAGTGAATATTACATCCCTGAAATCAAGTTCTTTGGAGACAGTTCACTACACGTTCTTCTCATAACAAAATGTTGGCTTGCTGGACTTAAATATTTAACCAGTTGTCCCCGTCAAATACCACTGTTCTATTTTGGGCCTGTGTATTGATTAGTTTGCATGTGCATGTGGGTCCACATGCAACAGGATAATATTCCCAGAGCGGGTCAAAGACCCTCAGTCGAGGTGAAGAGAAACAAGTGTAACTGTAAACACTGTGAGGTTGGAAGCGTCACTGAAGCATCCGAAAGCAGCATTGATCGTCTTGGTTAATGGCTGGATATGGGAAAGAGTGAGTGATTGATTTGACCGCTACTGAATTAAAGCCATTCAAACTATGCTGGGCCACTGTTGCAAAGCGTTCTTGCATTTTATATTTTCCGGGAAATGCATAGGGATTCTCTCTCCATGAGGGACTGTGTATGTTTCCTCCTCGCAGGGCCCACATATGGACTTGTGAAAGGCGAGGTTATGCAACAGCCCCGGCCACTTGAAAAACTGCCATTTACTGTTGGTGAATGGAGGAGTTAAGAATGGCTAGGCTCCCATTGTCGATGCTCATTGGTATGCAGAGCTCCGTGGCATTGCCACCAGGATCCTCGATGAAATCCGATGTATCTTCACCACTGATCTGTGAGGAGCTTTCTTCTCTGTGTCACCCTCAGACTGCTGCTGTCAGAAACAGCAGCAGTCAGAAACAGCACGGCGATCGAAGGTCCCACCCATGCACGGTACATAGAGAACCAAAACACCGCCGTCAACCCTTTGCCAACTTTGATATGTTCCCTGATAAGAAAATCATGTGATCAAACGTCCTCAGAGGCCAATCTTGTGTAAACGCTTCACTGGCAAGGCTATCAAATGGGGATTGAATAATTCTAGTACTATGACATAACAACCAGAGGTGATAAGAAACAAGCATATCTCAAACTTGTTCTCCTGCACAAAATATGTCAGTGCTTTTAATCTGACAAAACCCTCTGCAATCTTCTTGTTAACCTGGAGAGACGATGTTTGAAGGAGAATTTGACTCCCATTGTTATATGAACCATCCGTACACGCAGATAACCAATGGCCTGGTTCATTTCAGTCTAAACACAAGGATTCACCCCAGTTCAGTAAATCCTCCTCCTTCCCCTCCCTCCCAGTCTGTCTTTGTGAGCTGAGGGAAGTGGGTTAGAGTTATATAACCAGTGCCCGCTCTCATAGATCCTCAGCAGCTCGTCTTCCCCTAATCTTTTCAGCTTGATTATACCCTCCATCCCCCTCCTCCTCTGCCAACTCACTCAACTGAGAGCATTCTCACACACAAACCCATCTAACACTGGAGCACAGGAACCCAGCATCTAGATCCGCCATGCACCGGTTTAGAGCGGATGGAATGGTTGCAGGTGTGTGTGTTTGTGTGTAGAGCTGCAGCAGTGTTTTGTCAGTGTGTATGCGACATCCCGACATTGCTGCACATTGCATCCGATGGTTAGCTGTGCACATTGCGCCTGAAATTTCCAGACCATTCCAGTTGTTCACAGCCCGTCTCAGCATCAGGAACAATCAGTCTCAGTGGGTGCTGCAGCCTGGTAATCTGTGCGAATGACGTGAGAAAGTGCAAAGTTACAATCTGCTCAAAGATGTCAACAGAAAGAAACTGTACTGTGATAATATTTGACATATCGACTGCCTTGTCAGTGGTTTTGTAACATGCGGTGATGCTGAAAGGGGTAGACTGCTGATACTGGTGTGTATATAAGTGTTCCTGCAATTCATCAATATGGATGCAACATGCAAACAGATTTTATGACAGAGTGTCAGCATTTACCGCCGCTTGTTTACAGTGCATCTGTGCCTCTTTGGGTGGTTTTCTTGTTTGCTGCACAACATTCTGGAATCACAGGGTTGATTTGATTGGTGTCGAGGGGAAAAATGGAAAATCAGGTCAAAGGATGAGACAATGTGGCTGAAAGCATTTATCATTACTCACCATCTGGCACGGAGCAGTCACATCAAACAAGAATTTCGATTGAGGCCACTTCCATGTACAGATACTTTACAGAAAAACCTGGTGTCCGCGCTACTTCGATGTTTTATAGCCACTAAAACGCAGAAGTTTGGAAATGCTGTCAGCGCTGGGGTTGCGTTTTAGTCTGGACGGGTAGAAATGGAGATGCTTGGAAACGATGACGCGGCACCCAATGAGACAAATTTGTGAATATAGGCTATACAAATCAAATATGATTGATTCTTTAATAAAACTGATGCCGAGCCAAAGTTAACCTTGATTTTAGTCATAAGGATTTGTGCATGCTCACACTGTGGAACTGCTTTGCTCAAAAGCGAATGGAAAGGCCATGAGAAAATATTATTTTAACACCTAAAGTGCTCATAAAAAAAGATTTTAAAGCCACATGAGGACACAGACAGACATGCAGGTTCAAAGGTCCAGAGATTGATTTCCATTTTGGCCTTTTTTATATCACCAGTAAGTGGAATGCCATGATGTGTCTCCTTTTACCTTTGCTCACCGAAGAGCATAAACGTAGAAATATTCTCCTCGGGCTACAGCTTACCTACAAACCTGCTCACCTCCATCAGGCAGTAAATATCGCTGCCTCCAGCTGACTAAACATTTATTGTGTTTTATGAGCCTCTTCACACAAGGCCAATAGGCAGAAGCAACAGGAAGTTGGCATGTTTGACTAACGCCCCATGGGAAATGTATCATGTACCTCGAAGCTGTTGAAATATGTTTTTGTGTTGTTTCCCCACAATACTAACTGTTCTGGTACAGGCTTGATCACAGAAAATCCCATTATATGCTGCTGATCTATGACAGCGTCAGTGTCTTGGCTGAGTCTCTTCTCTTATCTTTATCCAGCAACAACCTGGACAACCCACCATCTGCTGCTTCAGACTCTTTTGGAAAAAAAAACCTTGATTACTGTAAACTCATGTAAAAATCCATCAGCAAACAGGTCAGACACAATCTTGTGTTTTTATATAATCATTTTATTTATACCGTCAACCAAGACTTGGTGGATTTAAAACTCAGTGCAACACCAAACCTAATATTTAATGAAAAATGTATTAATTGTTGTTGCCTCGAATAGAAAAAAAAAGTTCCTGAGTCCATTTTGTCATCTGTGATCCATCTCAGAAAGTAGGACACCCCAGATCTGTGCGTTCATCATTTCATGAGCACAGCAGACACACAAGGGGGAGCTTTATCACCACTGTGGATAGAGAACGATTTTCTCATAACATGGATGCAATTAGTGCTATCAGCTGAGATTGCCAAACACAACCAAGTGTCATGTTTTCACCCTGTGATAATAAATCTCTCAGATGTAGGAGAGATAAAAATTTACATTTTAACGTTGCAGACTTCTCAAAACAAAGCTTTGTGACGGGAGCAGACAACGTCAAATATGGGTCTAATTTACACCAACATTTTTTTATGCAGTTTGCAATGTCATCAGAGGCACTTGAGAATAATCTCCTACATGATTCCTTCTGTGACAGGCTGCAAGGGCCATCAGAGAACTTGTTATGATCGACTGACATCTACTGGTTTGATTTGAAATGACATTTTATGTAACTTTATTTAAGGTCATACATGAGGCTCTAGGGCCCTCCAGTGGCAGAGGCTTTAAACTCAAGTAGAAACAGAGCACAGAGCCAGATGGAGCTCATTCCTCACTCAAGGCCATCTTGATAAAATGGGACAACATTTTCTGTTCTTTACACAACGGCCTTTACAAACAGTACATTTTAACCGAAGCGCGACCGTAACTGGGGCTGAAGCGAATCTGTTCAAATGACTAAAAGTCATTAAAGGGCGGGGGTTTTTAGTATTTAGAATATTTTCAAGCCAAAATGAAAACAGCTGCTAGTTCTTTTCCACCCACCTCTCCTCTCTCCCCCATTTTTCTCAGCTCATCCCAACCAGTCAAGGCAGATGTCCATCTGCTCTGAGAGAACTTTGAGGTTTCTCTATCATATTGTTCGGTCACACCTACTGTATATAAACAGCCCTGAGATACTGTATGTTGTGAGTTGAACTGAATTTAGCTTCTGTTGGGTTTTAGATAATTTGAAATCACATTATTTGCATTATTATGTGGGTTTGAATGAGTTTTTCAACATGTGTCCACACTGGTATGGCAAAAAGGATATTATACTCAAATATAAACTGTTTATCTGGGATATCATTTACAATGTCATTTTCCTGCAAACTGCCCTGATCTGATCTTTATAGACCAAATGAATTGATTTAAAAACTATTTCATCCCAGAATAAACCTACAAGATCCCACTGAACCTGCTTGATATTATAATATACTACAAATCCAGTCAGACATGTTTTATTCATTTCACTTCATGGTGACACAAAATGCAATGTAGCAAGTACATGGTGTCATGCCACACATACATAATGAGAAAAGTTCACATTGTACTAAAAGGCCCTTTTTATTTATTTATATATAGATATTTTGAGGATTCACATTTGGATTGGGTACTTTCAAAATTAACAAAATGATAGTCTTCACAAAAATACTCTTTCCTTTACATTTTTCAAATGTTTGTATAAGTGCTACATAAACTTTTACACAGAAAACACAAATAGTTCACAACAGGGTGTTTGCGTTTTCCATAATTCAGTTCTCTGAACACAAATGTCACAAATAATGGAGGATAACATTTTATGCTCAGGTCAGTGGCTTTATGTCCAGATAGACATTTCAGAGTTTGAACACTTAGGAGCCATTTGCATGCATTTATTACATCCACAAAAACAAGCTGGTGAGGCTTTTCCAAACAACGTGGAATAGAAATCCAGAGCCAAACAAAGGCTTTTCTGAAGAAAACTGCTGTTGTGCATTTTTATATAGCCCTCATTAGTTTGATCCTGATGTGTCAGTCTAAGGCAACGTTCCTTTCAAAGGAAATCAGGGTTTGAATGTCTTTTTTCTACCAGTCAGGTTTATAACTGACAAAGACATCACAGTGATGGGGAACAAATACTTTTTATGCATTCTGAATATTTAAATTCACGCTTGGCTTTACCATGTATGCTGTGTATGCTCGGTCCAGTGGAACTAAATGTTACACATGGAAAAATGAGAATTAACATGTTGTAATTTGGGTAAGAATGTCGCATTATAATCTTTCTGTGTACAATCACACTATAAATTTATTTTCTTAACTAACTCATCCACATGACACATTACAGTGAGGTTAGTCTCTGTTCCAAATGGCTCATGATCCAAACTGCACTACACTGTATCGAAATCACTGAAAGAATAATGATTAGGTCTCGGCAATCAAACAATATCATCAATATAATCAATGGCAATATAACTCAAAACAGCAAAGGTACAAGACTGTGTAGGAAAAAACTACATCTCCCATAAACCAATGTGAATGGTCCCTTTCCAAGGACGTCCAGGACATAATCATGGTTTCTCTGTGGTAAACATAATGTAACACTGAACCATCCAATCATAGACAACAAGATTTTGGAAGGTGTGGCAAACATTACCATGGTAACAACAGTCTCGACCAATTACAGATGTCACTATTACACCCAGGGATTTTGGTTTGTCTTGTAGCAAATAAAACATGTTTTTCTTAAATCCAAAGTCTACCTTGGATGGGTAAAATATTATGGCTGATAATCAAATTCTCTATTCGGAAAATGAATGGGATTTTTACTTCTAGAACCCCGATGTTGAGCTCTGTTAATCTACCTCAGATTAGTTTCTCTGTCCACAAAGACGAGTTCAAAACCACAACATTCAAAAATCAGACTTTAAGGTAAAAAGAAATAATAATGTGAGATTTATCGTGATAATTCTCAATATCGACTGATGTGAAGGATTTCACCTTGATTACAGTCCTACCTTGAAACTGAGATTTAAGTTACAGTTACCTTCAATAAAAATACAGGTGTGAAATCAGAGGCTGCCAAGATTTTGGTGAGAAACATTATAATCACAGTGTTCTTGTATGTCAAATTACAAGAATGATGCTTTCACAAGCCAACATTGCACACACTTGTAAAAACACTATATGCACTTTGTCTATTTCAAATGTGTTGGTCATGTTGCGCAATCACTTACTGGTGAAAAAGACTGTAAATGCCTAGAATTTGATGGGAGGTGGGACTATATTGCTTTGGGACCCCTGTGACCTGCAATATTTCGTGCCCCAAAAACAAGCTCAGCACTGAGAATGGCATATAAAAATGTCAAAAGTCATCACATACCTGCACAGTTCAACTCTACGGCTTTCACTGCCGACCTTTTTGTTTCAGACCAAATGCACAATCACATTTTTTTTCTCAAATCACAGCTGAGGTTTCCACTAGTAAAAGTATGGTTTCAGACACAACTGTTCATAATGCCCAACGTTAGAAAAACAGAAACAAACACTTGCAGGAAAACAGCACAGGAGAGGTAGGAATTTAAATTCCAAAACCTCTGTTCCACGAATACTTAGGTGTTAATCAACTTTGCATGCTAATCACCAGTGGGCTGCACAGCAAGAGAAATGAAAAGCATACTTTTAAGAAGTTGTCACAACCAGAAATATGGCACGACGTTAACTGGAGGACACAATATCACTCAGCGAGCCCTCGACCCAGAAGGATATTTACACTGCCAGCACTCTGGCCTTGGAACAGTGTCCTCTCTGCTAGGTGACCACTTCTTCACGCGGCAGGTTGAGCCGCACCTCCCCTCCTGCTGCTGTGGAGGCTGAGTAGACTGCAGTGGCGGAAATAGAAGAAGAGCCGTTGGTCTCCATGGTGAAGACCTTGCAGAAGCTTGGCGGGGCTGCATCGGGAGCCTCCCTGTCTGGGCTGGACGCCCGGGACGACCCAGGAGATGATGTGGGGCTGAGCTGCACAGCTGTAGTGTCCTGCAGCGTGTGCTCGCTGGTCTCAATTTCAAAAGCTGCCCCGCCAGTCAGCCCGCCGTGTCCCATCAGTCCCGTGCCTCTGCCGCCCACCTTTGACCTCCGTGAGCTGTTGGGAGGTGGGAGGCGGCTGCAGACACAACAGGCCCCAAAAAAGGAGAAGGCCACCAGCAGTAGGATAGGTCCAATGATGATCGGGGGATTGGCAGAAGGCACCAGTGTACTGAAGGCGAACGCTCCCACCAGAGTGATGTTGAGTCCAGCCAGCATGATGCATAGGCCACAGGCACAGCAGAGGGCCGGAGAGGGCAGGCCATGAGGGCGAGACTTCCTCCTCTTCGTCTTCTTCTGGGACTCCTTTTTAGGTACAGGGGTGCCGTTGGTTCTATCAGTGATGACCATGATTTCTCCCCTGCTCTCGCTTTCTTCCTCTCTTCCTTGGTGTCACTCTATCTCCCAGTGTTTCAGTCCGAACACTGCCCCATGGCAACGTTTAAATGAACTTCTAATCTTTGTCTGCAAATGACAGCACATGATAAATTAGAGCTATTTCTTTCATTAGATGCAAACAGATCCTCACACCACTGTTGTTATGTGCACAAGTATCAGAGGACAACTACCTGATGATCATTGTGGGCAGTGAAGTGTTTATGTGACCCATCAATGAGCTCTGAACATTCATCACTCTGCCATGTTACTCTAAATCTGGAGAGTCCGACATATGACAGTAAAAATCTGATACTTCTATATTACTTAATTTCCCTCCGGGGATGAATAAAGTAATCTATCTTAATAATATCATGCTGTATACTTATGTGAAATCATATATATTTTTGTATTCGTATCATATAGTAACTATACTCAATCAACCATACATATATTTTACATTAATGTCTCATTGTCCACACATATATATATATATATATATATATACCCTGACATGTTATGTTGCTCACTGTGACTGTGGCAGGGGAAAAATTAAATAAATGAAAGTAAAGAAGGAGATAATTGAACGACAGGTTAGAGACACTGGTCGGAGCATTAATGGTCACATCTAATCATGAAAGCTAAGCCTGGGTATAGATGAGAAAAAAACTCCTCTTCGACACGATTGATCAGATCCCTTATTTTCTGCCATTTTACTGTAAAATATGTGCTACACCACTGCAGCTGCTTCAGTGCCAGCTACAGGCCACCAGGGTCTCATTATCTATTTTTACTATTTTTTATTATTGTGATATGGAATCACATCTGCATTTTCAATGCAGCTCATTCAATTGCAGCTGTAGAAAGAGGATGAGGAGGTTAAATGTGATTTTTCTGTAACTGTAGAAATCTGTGACCCTGGTACAAATAATAACACATTTAGTTGCTCTCTGCACTGACGTGTTGCATTCTTGTAAAAATGTAAATCATCTTACCCTGTGTATCGATACACTCAAGGTCTTCCCATCGTTTAATCAATAGATCGATCGGCCTAATCGCCGCGCGTAATTACGGAGAGGTTGAAAGGACGCGCACGCACCAAAACGAAGGGTTTTCATCCTGACGCGTTCGTGGCTTCACGCTCCTGAGGGCACAAGTCATGACGGTCAGTCAATCACGAGGGGATGAGACCTGCGGGGGAAGGTGAAAGAAAAATAATCCGAGCGGAGGGTGAAGATCACTCAGGTGATTTCTTCTGAGTTGACACCGCTCAGACGCGACATAACCAGGCTGTGCCGCTGCTGCCGCTGTGGAGCGAGACGCAGCACGCAGCACCTGACAGGTCATCATCCTGCTGCGGACCTACGTGGAGGGGGAGCCGCTCATGAAGGCTGCCCGTGAGGAGCGACTGTCCGCCGGCCAGAGAGTGGAGTCTTCACGTCCCTTTACTCCATCCTCCATCAGCCACGTAGATCATCTGGATGTGACTCTGCTGCCTCCTCCTCCTCCTCCTCACTGATCCCTCCTGTAACCACCGTCTCCAACCTGTTCTGTGTGTGTGTGTGAGTGTGTGTTACGTTGTGAGGACATTTTGGTTGGTCCCCACAAATTCACAGGCTTGTTTGAGGGTTAAGACTTGGTTTAAGGGTTAGAATTAGAATTGGGTTAGGGTCAGGCATTTAGTTGGGATGGTTAAGGTTAGGGTAAGGGGCTAGGGAATGCATTATGCCAATGAGTGTCTTCACAACCTGTGTGTGTAGGTTACGGTTTACAATTTCTGTCTGGATAAGCCTAAGACTGTGATGTATATCTTAATGTTATGGTGCTTTTCCAGTCTTGACGATCTCTGTGTGGCTCAGGGGCAACTGGGATAATGTATTTCTGTGATTTTTGTGAACTGACCATTTAAATATCAGTATACAGGCTATTGAAGCTTTTAACAAGTGCATTCTGGTTCATGAATGGATGCTTGGAATATTAAAATTTGGTTATTCTCTCTTGTTCTCACTCTGGCTTTGATTCAGGTCATCTTAATAGAAATATTATGCATAGGCCCATTAATCTGTGTCCTATCACATCAACCCATGCTGGCTGGTGTTCAGTTAATCATGATGTGTCCCTCCAGTATTTAACGTCATGCAGGCACAGATGGGTTGTGATGGGACATTGTGATATAGGGCCTGACAATCAAACTGATTGTCGTCATCAAGGCACCGCAGACTCATCGTGCTCCTGTTGCTGAGGCCCATCGCCATTATTCAGCCTCACAGCGCTTCACACTTTTTGTCGGAGCGCAGCGTTCTTCCCCATGCAGCAGCCATTCTGCCTGTGCTCTCCTGAATATCAATGCATTATGTTTCACTGCAGGGGTGCAGCTCACTGTGTGCGTGCAATGGACGTTTGCTATTTGCGTGTATGTGTGTGTGTGTGTGTGTGTGTATACACACTTTAGGGTACTCCCATTTGTTTTGCTCATGTCAAGTACAAGCCAGGGAACTTGAGCCAAATTATGTACGAGTCTCATCATCACATAATGACCATAATAATTTCATAATTGGGGGCTGAGAACATCGTGTGATGATGAGACGAGCAAGTGGGACTAATTTGCTTCCATGAGTCTCAAGAGTGATGGAAAGGCTACAGCAACAATCACTTTGTAATCTTTTAATATGTTTATCAGACCACGTCAGGACAATACCATGAGGTGATCTTAACAAACAGAACAGTTAATTCAAAATATTGTAATCAACATCTCTTGTATTACACTTGGAAGAAATGAAGAAGATGAACAGGGAAGGTTAGTGAGATCATGTGAGGACATCAAGGCAGGTCTTGATCAGAGGGGGATTGTTTCTGTTTCCGCCTAGATAAGACGTCTGGCAGGTCTGAAGACGTCCTGCAACAGAAGACACAAAAGTAATGTGTCCTTCCATTTGTATGTGGGGTAAACCTGTCTTCACTTTGCATCAGTCAGTTTACAGAGCGATAAAAAGACTTGGACTCACAGACTTAAACTATCACATGACTGTGAGAATTCGATGCAGTATGTAAACCATGACTGAAACTGGGCCCAGTGTTGACCCTGGGGGATCCCAAACAGCATTAAAATGGAACATTTGCTGTCAGCTAGACCTACACTAAACCTGCCAGAGAGGCAGGACTGTAATCCATAAAAAACTTCATGCTGGCCTATTCTTTGAGCTCAATACACAGAGTCGGGATCTGTACTGTACCACCATCCACCTCACCACCCTGCTCATCTAAACCTTTTTGGTGCTATATAAGTGTCTGCCTACTTCTTGCTCTTGTATGTAAATCACTAGTCCACAACTGCACATGAGTATGATTCAACAGAGAGAGCCAGGGTTGGTTTCAATCTCATACCCCTCATCTGGGTTGGCCTCTGCCATCGGTCCACCTTCCACAAAGGTTCCCATACGACTCTTACAACGTTCCAGATTTAGTTGACTTTGAGTCCCTGCGAGACCACGAGGGAACACACGGCAAGACACATGAACTGTCAGTATGACGTAACAGCAGTTTGTCAGCAGAAATACACAGAAACTACTCAACAGTAACTTGGTGGAAGGATGAGACATTGGCAAAGTGGAGGGTAGATAATGAGTGCATCTAAATTTTTCAGTGAAATATCCCTTTAAGATTGTGAACTAGGGCCCTTGTCTGAGCTATGAGCTCTACTGAGTGCCATTCAAGTTTATTTATTACGCATAAAGTACTGAATGGATTTCCACAAAACTTGGCCAAGAAGAAAACAGGAGTGGATCCGATCATTTGTTATGAGTTATGTTTGAGTTTTTTTACTTTCACACCAATTTCCCAGGGTAAAACCCGTGGATCTTGATTTTAAAAAATATCATTCTTCAGATACGGAGATTACGTTTTCATGATCTGCATTGCTTTGTTAGTTTAGATTGAATTAAGGGGACAGTTTGGCCTCAGCAGAGGGATGCGTTCTACTGAGTGGCATTCTAGTCTTTTTTCCTTTTCATTAGAGCCCACACATGTAAGTCACATGGACGGCAGATTAGCACTTTGACTTTTAATTATGTTCCATTGCTGTGTGATGCTGACAGACAGAGTGATCAGACACAGACTTGAATGCTCAGTATCAATGTTAGTTGAAAACTATCCCTTTAGATGTTATGTGATAGCTGTGTCGATTAGTGGCTTTTCAGTTTAGGGAAAGACTGACTCCAACACTCACCTTCTCGTCTGAGCGCTTCTATGGGTTGCTCCGGAGCAGGATTGGCAGCCGTGGGGTGCACTCTGAAGTTTCCTGAGAATTTAAAAAAATGTTCTGAACCAAAATTGTTTCTTAGATATGACAAATGTAATTCTGTAATTTTCATCATGAACAAATTGTTGCCATCATAGCTTCTGTAATAAGTAAGACTAAAAAAGCCTTTAAATTTTTATTTTCCAATATTGAATATAAATGTGACAACTTACCAAAGGAAGGAAGAATATGGTTGATGTTCAACCAGGCTTTTACGAAGGGGTATATCGATATGAGAAGGCCTGGAAAACAGATGCCATTTAATATGGTTGGTAAAGATTTGGTAATGTGCACTTTATGAGACTGGAACCAGGGGTGGAGGAAAATATTGTGTACTGCAGGCTGAGTAAAAGAAAAAGACTATTATAGCATAAATCTAATCACAGTCTAATCACATGTAAATTCTAATTAATGGAAATTTAATATGTGAAATTTTAACAGCCTGTGAGCCATACCTGGGGTTTAAAATAAGAAACTCTTCCAACCTGCTCCATTCGAAGACAGTTATTGATTTCCCCTGTAAGTCAGAAGAGCTGGCATTAAACCCTGGCAGGTCCTGAGGGTGGCTGTGATGCATGTCTGTGTCTAAAATGTCATGAAAGTGCAGGAGTGAAAAGAATCTGCCGGGAACACTCTGTTCATGCTAATTAGTCATGTGTTGGAGGAGGCCTCATGGCACATTAGCCCCAAAACACATAATTAGATGCTACTTAGCAGCACAAGTGCTGCCACGGCTAACATCTCTGTCAAGCTGCCGGCACAGTTATAATTTGCCAAATTCTTGCGCACATTAGAAAAATAAATAAATGATTGAGCGCTGATCGAATCATCGGCGAGAGTGTGTTTCACATTAACTATGCATGTTGATGTTGTCTCCCTCGGATCAAAAGCCCTGTCCTTTACTCTCTCTCTCTCCAGGAAAGCAGTTAAGGCAAGTCCTCTGGCTGTCAGCTGGTTCCAGTTACACTGTTGTTTCAGATGGTGATGAGAGATGGTGTGTTTTTCAAGAACAGTGGACGAATAATGTCACAGGCCACAGATTTTGACATTGGTTCGACACACACAATCAGTTTTTTCTTCAAATACAGTTATACAGTTTAAAAGCCAAATATGTAGAAAAGTCATGAAGCAGTCATCTCTTCTTCTGTGACGAACTGTGGGTGCAAATTTGATGACGACACAATATATGAATAATCAATTGTTATTGCACCAAATCAGGAAACAGTTGCTATTTTTCTTTATTGTATGGTCTGTACATTTTGTTTGACCTCTTATGAACAAGAAGAAATTAAAATGAATGAAATTTTAACTGTTTAAAAACTTTTATCAACACCAATTGCAGGATCAGAGCAAAACAGAATATACTTGGTTTAACCAGAATTTACAGCTGGGGTCTTGAAACCAATCTGACAGTTTCTGTAGCAGCTTCCTGAAAACATGCCATCGGTCCAAAATCCTGTATAAAGGCAGGTATCAGGAAATGGGATTAGAGCTCAAAGAAGATTATGTGAGAAAACCTGTAATTTAAGCTTAATCAATTAAATGCATTTTCCACAATTCCCCCACCACAAAAAATCAACAGTCTCTAACATCTACTCACCGAGGCCCCCTGCTCCCAGGAAGATGCCTCCCACAGCATCAGCATCACACTCCCTGGACACACCAATGATGATGCAGCCTGCCACAATGCCGAGCAGGGCCGAGCCCACCCGTAGCCCATGGTACTGCCCAACGCTAACAGGGTTCATTCAGCAGGCGGAGGCCCCCCAACCTGCCCCACACACACACAAACACACAGTCCTGACTCTGTACTCTGCCTCAACTTGGGGCCCCTCACTGCCACTGACAAACTTCCCTGTGAAGTGCATGAGCCGCACCCCTCCCTTGTTATACTGTCACTGACACAGAAACACTTTCTCTGGCTGAGCTTCCAGCTCTAGTCTCTGTTGCTCAAGACGTCTCATGCATCTTTAAAGATGGAGCTCTAGTTTCCACTGCCACTGAAAATTAGAAAAGCTCGGGGCGTGGACTCTTATGACAACGATACGTGTGCTACAAATCTGATCACAGCCCTCTCGCTGCCAGCACTGGCATCCAGTATCAGTGCATGCCTGGGGTGAAATTCACAAAGACAGAAAGAACCCTCGCAGGACGAACAGCACAACCTAAAAGGGAGACAATGGTAAGGCTACAAACACGGAGGGGAGGGAGAGGAAGACAGACAGAGTCGGAGTATGTGCTACTTGTGTGATTTGTCTGCGAGCTTGAGGGGAATGTATAATGAAAGGTTCAGAGAGTCCTCTACGGTGGGGGCCTGAGGCCATCCATAAAGGCCCGCAGTTGCCATAGGAATAGCATATCCATGGCAACAAGGGGAAAATGTGGGTAAGCAGGATTAACACCGGTGAAAAGGATAACAAATGAACTTACTGCATTGAGGAGAAACACTGACATATGTTCTGCTCAACTAGTGAACTCCTTCCTTCTTTCTCTAGAGGCACATCTCCATTATTTATAAGTGCTGGTCATGAGGGGCGGGTGTGTGTGTGTGTGTGTGTGTGTGTGTGTGTGTGTGTGTGTGTGTNGTGTGTGTGTGTGTGTGTGTGTGTGTGTGTGTCACATACAGTATGCAGCTGCAACTGACTTACAGCCTTTACATATAGTACACATCATACATATAGCAAAGTTAACACACATCCCACAGGTTTTATATTTGTATGAATGTGTCAACATGTTGAATTTCCAGGTTGTGGAAACTCTTCTGTCTTTTTAGCTAATTTAATTAGTTGTGATAAAGTTGTTTTATTATTGGCTTGAAATTGATCATCCAAGGCTTTATGTCATGTTATCATCATCAATGACTTGAATAGATAGATAGATAGCTAGATAGATAGAAAGTTGTGCATGAGACAAACATAGCCTGTAAAATGATGGTATAGCAGATGTTAAAACAGTGTACGAAATAAAACCTAAAAAATAAAGCTAGATTATACATATAGATCTGTGAAGCATTCATAAACAATATTAACCACTAAAAGTGACATTATTTACATCTCACAGAGTTTTTACAAATAGTAAGTGTTAAAGTTAAAAAATTATTTCAAAGCTAAGTTCTGATTTGCACAAAGAAGATGTAATTCTACAGGGAAAAATAAAAAAGACTGCGTTGGCCGGGAATCGAACCCGGGTCAACTGCTTGGAAGGCAGCTATGCTAACCACTATACCACCAACGCTGGGTATTACTGCGGAAAACGACGCTGGATTTTGTTGGAAGAGGGAGTATCATGGAAGACCAGAAGTATAAGAGCGGTGGGAACACATTAACTTATTTCCACATTTATTTATTTCTGTATTTCTGTGTCATATGCAAATGAGTAAGGGCGGTCCTAGCCTCAGTCTCATGCAGGTCAATTGAGCAATCCAGACAGAAGCAATCTGTTCCTAGCGAATCTTCGCTCAGAGCTCGTTCATGAAGCAGCAGGTCAGAGACTTAGCTGAAGAACAGTAGAAACAGTGAAACACAGAGTTGCTCTCTGGTCAAAGCTGCTCAGTGATCAGCTGCTTCATGACCAGAGCTGAAGCTGCAGTTGGTTTGTATCGAGCTGGAGTTTCTGATTCCTCCTCCTCTCTAGTAAGCCTTAACTCTCTTAACTTTCCCCATTCATTCTCTATGGTAGTGCTTAACACTACGGATGTAATATATTTTTGGCCACTGAGTGTAATTTGGGGGCGCTGTTTCCCCGTTTCGACAGCGGAACCGGAAACCCTGCTCCTTAACTCTTAACGCTACGGATGTAATATATTTTTGGCCACTGAGTGTAATTTGGGGGCGCTGTTTCCCCGTTTTCGACAGCGGAACCGGAAATCCCTGCTCCTTAACTTTTCTCATTCATTCTCTATGGTAGTCTCTTAACGCTACGGATGTAATATATTTTTGGCCACTTGTGTACCAAGTGTATTTTATTGGCGCTGTTTCCCCATTTTCACACCTCTGTATTCAAAGAAGAGCATCGGCGGCAACAGTAAAGTACAGTATCAAGTTTTTTTTTTAGACGTTATCATCAAGTTTGATCAACACAACTCAATTGTAAGTCAAGCTATTTTCTTCAAGTTGTCATTCCATGTTTCTCAGTGGTATTGGTSGAGGTGTCTTAGTACAGTGGTGTTACATACTGTATGTGGGTTTTTACATCCTGACCTCTTGCAGTCTGTACATATCTGGAGGCCTTTTTAGTCTCTCACTGACACTTATCCAGAACCTTTCACTCTTTTCTCTAGATTCACAACTTTTCTTACMGTGTTTTACTGAAGCTGTRAATTGTTTATACCATCATTGTGTGAATTCTTTGCATGAAAGATTTAGGTGGAAATATTTCTGTTTCTTTTGGCAGTGATAGAATATAAGTTATTAAACTGTAKTGACTTGTATTGCTGATAGATGGATGGATGTTTACCCAAGTATAAGAATTATTATTTAAAATACCTCAGAATGTATCCTTTGAATTTACATTAGGAGTCTCCTCTCTCGATGCCGGCTACATTTTACACGCACATGTTTTTACAGTAGCCCAAAATGAAAAAAAAAAAATCATATTTTGAGTTTTTTAAAGCAAACATAGGTTCTTCTACATGTTTAGAAGAGGAGGCTGAGGTGATGGGTATCCAGCTGCACTTTCTGTGCATGTAAATATTTCTTTCAGATTCTTCTCAGATTTCAGATTTTGTCATTACAAAAGTTCAGGTACAGGTAATTCAAATTACTCATCTGCGATGCCTCATATCCCACTTTGTTTCACAGATTTCATTTAATGATGCAGTTGCATAACAATTTTATTCAATTAAAGTTTTTCACAATATGAATCACCTGAATTGTAGCAAAAGAGCAACACTTTCAACGTATTCTTTATTRTTACAGACCTGCCAGGGGTTACGCCTTTACCCGTATCCTCCTCTCCAAGGGCCAAACGCACTGGACCTGTTAAAACAGGTGGCCTCATCCAGGTTCTTGACCACAGTCGGTGGACAGAACCCATGAGGACCGCCATTGATGAACTGCTGATAAAGCACCAGGGAGCTAAAGACATTCTGAGGCGAGTGGATGTGGACTATGCTGCCATGGTGCAGAGGGCGTGCAGGGACCCCAACAGCCTCCTCCATCCCACCACGTGGCAACATATATCAAGATATGTGAAACATGTTGCCAAATTAAAAAACACCAGCTCCTGTCTCAACACCAGCTCAGAGAGGGCATCAGATACAAGGAAGTTGTGGCACAGTTTGACTACAGGCAGCCAGACAGTCAGTGTGCCCGTCGCAATTTTACCCCCTGCCCCTATCAACCCTCCCCCCGTTGGTCTCACTCAGGATGACACACTTACCAGGGCTGCAGTGGCAAGGATTGTGGCAGTGGTTCTACAGCAGCAGCAGCA